GGAGGGCTCTGCCGTGGCTCATTGTTGCTGTGGTAGTTGTTCGGGTATAGTAACCTGATTTGTAGGCTGAAGACATCTTCAGCCCGTCAATTATCTCGTCTACACGAGATATTGCTTTTAACATCTCCTCGTTTGAGGAGAAGTCTGCTCTGATTCTATCATGAGCGATCATTTCCCTCTTCCATTCAAGGGGAATGTAGTTTAGGAACCTGGCGTTGAAGGACGCCTGGTCTGGAGGCGTCACCATCTGGGACGCTGCTTTTGACAGTTCTAAGTAGAACTGTTTTAGGCCTTTTTCTGCTTCGTATTTGACGTTGCGGTATTTCTTTGTCGCATTCAACGCAGCGGAGGCTTTGATGAAGGTTCTCATCAATATGTTGAGAACTTCGAGGAACATGCCCTCATCTCCTCTGAGGAGAGTTTCGTCTCGGAGTCTAATTCCGAGGTCAAACGCGGGTCCCCCTAATCCATGAATCAAGCAGTCCAGGTGGACTTCGTCAAATTGGGGACCTTTGCATCCTCGCGAGGCGAGGAATCCCAGTAGTTCTGTGAACCACTGCCAGAATGATTCCATGTCGTTCTCCCCTGACCATTTCTTGTCAGGAAATGCCGGCCCATTCTTTAGGGCTTCTGGCTTCACTCCTTCTGGGTAGGGAGTGAGTATTCTCACTTTGGCCATTCTTATGGCCTTTTCGTACCATTTCTCCAGGTACTCTTCTTGCTCCCCTGCCTTCGCGGGGTCGCTATCCAATGGAGATCTCTCCTTTGGGGGGGTTTTTGCTGGGGGAAATCTTCCTCACAGCATTTCTTTGGTTTCAGGCGAATTTGCCTGAAGTTGTATTTGTATTCTCTCATTGTTTTGAGAGGGTGTGAATGAGTTACCTCTCTGTTCAAGAGGTCCGTCATAAGTGGATGTTTGGCCGAACCTTTGGTACATGCCAATTCTCCTTCTAATCTCTGAACGATGCCTTCTTTCGGCATCGTCTTCTCCTATCCTTGGGAGAAGGATCTCCTTAGTGTCTCTGTCGCGTTGCTGATGATATTCCAGTGTGCTTTCACTGGTGGTTCTTTTCATGAATTTTTCACGAGTTCTATTTATGTCCTGGACCGTGGTCCAGGGGTGTCTATTTGTTTCCTCACTTTTTTGTGAGACGTTTATTTCCTTCAGCAAATCTGTTTGTTCGCTGATTTTTTCAGTCAACGCGTCGATTGCATTGGCCATTCTTTCTAGAGTTATCTCTAGACGAGCCATGCTATTATGGTTCGTTTCCTCGATCTTTTTTTGGATTGAGTTTATCGTGTTTATTATGCGCGATTCCTGGTTTTCCAGGAGGAAGTTTGGTTGGGCGAGCAGTAACTCTCCCCAGTTGACATTTCCGCTTCTGGGGGTTCCAGAATGGGTTCTTGGAGTGAACACTCCACGCTCGCTTTGTTTAGGCGAGGCCGTTGCGGAGGGTGCTTCCCTCTCATAGAGGGGTCTGTTCGCTGGTTTCTCCTTACTTTTACGTAAGGCTTCCTCAGCGAACTCCCTCATTTCATCATTATCTCGGAGACCTCCTCCGAAGTTGGTGACCTTGCCTTGTCTGGCATGGTGTGTGGGAGTGTAAACAGTGGAAGTTCTTTTGGAGCTTCCGCGCTCTGGGAGATCCTGCTCTCAGGGCGTATTTTCACGCCTTCTCGGGCTTTCAGCCTGAGAAGAAGTTGATCTTCACTTTCCGTCCTCCATTCAGACAGAACCTGGAACAAGTCCAGTAGTTTTTCGGATAGCCGTCGCGGGGCTCTTCCCTTTGTTTCCCTTTGTCTGCCTTTGGGGCTTGACTTGGGGACGTGAGGGGGGACTCCAGGGGATAGTGGGGCCCTGGAGTTTCCTGCAACTCTATCCGATCAGCTTTTTGGGCTGATCGTTCGGCGCTTACGCGTTTTTCGCACTGAAAGAGGGCTCGTGGCTCTCTATGCTGACACAGCTCGTGGGGGACAACTCTCCCTAAACTCTACTTTCTCCACTAAACTCACTACGTTCTCGATCCTTAACTCCGTGTGGGTTCTCCGGGATTCCGCAAGGTCTGGGCTCAGTGTCCACTACTCACTCATTGTGAGCTAGATCACTGCCCTTATTCCTACTGTTGGAATTCCACACACTCACACCCTCTCTAGCGCGTCCTAGCACCTTAGAGAATTTTGGGGGAGGGGAGAACTTCTTTTTGAAAATCCAGTATGTACAGGATTATAAGAAATAATTATTTTTAGAAATAATAGATGGTGAATATTGGTACCATATGGCACCTGGGTACCTTATTAGGCGAAATAATAAAAAGGGTAACAGTAACAATAAAAGAATATCAATCAATAACTGAAATGATGGCAAAATATGAAAATAAAAGAAAATAAGCGATATCTCAATGGATTTGCGGAATTAAGAGCCTAAATTGGAAATGTAGCCGGAGATAACTCTCACGCAGCCAATGAGCATTTTTACCAATTTATTAGACGCCGTGGGAACGAGTGAGGCTGGAATTCTGGGTTGCCGCTTGAGATTCCCACGCCCGCACATGCCCGTGACCTGCTGTGCCTAACTTGCCCAACATTGAACTCCGTCAATTCTCCACCGATTGGGACGTTCTTGATATCGTCAGAATCGTACGAATTAGGACTATTTTTAGATACCGAATCCGTATCGAGTTGTCGCATGAATGGAAGGGGTTTTCTAATCGTAGAAGCGGGTATCCGAGCCGGCTCTGCATGTGGGCGATTATCCCGCCTACAGCGCAAGTCGATCACCTCGTGAGGAGGTGATGGATCTTCCCCAGCTTGGGTTAGATCGGTATGTTGTGGAGTTCTGGGGGTATTTCGCCCCGCACTTACTCCACGTAAGTTTCTAAAGCCTTCAGGGATGTCAGGGACGCGTCTGGGGTAGAGGAGGCCCGGGTGAGATGCCCGACACTAGAAGCCTCACAGGGTGTGGAGCGGGCGTGCGTACTGGCGGGCCCGGCTCAGGAGGCAGTCCCTGGCCACTTAGACTGAAGTGGAAAAGGGTGAGAAGAAGGCTACTTCTTCGGTTCCCACTTCAGGTATGTTTATATACATGCGGCTTAGGTCACATGATGGGTGCCACGTCATCCTCACATACAGCCGTAGTCACCCGGGTGTCCCTGTGGGGGATCCCGAGGGCATCCGCTGTGAACGCGCAAGCTGGACATAGCGGGGGTCGCCTGAGGTGCCCAGGCTGGGCGTGTCGTGAGCACGCTGCGGGTGGGTCAATGGTACATTGATACAAGGAAAGGTCGTCCGTGTAGAATAAAGAGAAAATAAAGAGAAGGTGAGATAAGTAAAGAGAGAGTGGAATGGAGAAAGAAAGAAAGAAGAAGGGGGGGAGGAGGTAGGGGAAGACTGGGTGGTGGGGTACCGGGTGAAGTGGGGCCGGGTGGGGCCGGGTCAGGCGGGTGTGCCCTGACAAGGGACCAGCCCTGAGGTGGTTGCTATTGCCGGATCATGTTGATCCTCGTCGTCGTCTGATGACGGCTTTTGGTTTGAATCTCCCTTGATGGGAGATTGCGGTTTCTTTATAAACCACTCATTTCTTTTTAGTGTCGCTGCAGATGCGACCTTGCCCTTGCGGGCGTGTTTAGGCACCATAGGCGCTTCCGAGTCAGATGTTAAGATTGTGTAGTTGTGGGTTGTGTTGTAAAACACACCTCATGCACTTAAAAAAGTGTGAGGTCTTAGGGTGGCTCAGCACACAAGGCCGTAAGTGATACAAGATAGTGTATTTTACGGTGGTGTGTAAGTGGTTACCCGGAGGTTCCCGCTTGCCCACGTGACTATGTGTATCTAATTTACACACGACCCGGGGCTCGGGGCTATTGCCCTGACAACGTGTTACTAGGCACAGCGCTCCTGGTCTGAGTCACTGAGGCCGAAGCCCTCTGCCACAGAGATATCTCCTTCATCTCGCTTCCAGTCTCTAACAGACAACAGGAGTCTGTATAAATGTTAGAACTGTGGGGCTGAATTGGTCCATTTCCATAGGTTTTGGGTGCAGTATAGGGGGTCAGCATAGGGATGATTCTACAGATAATGTGGCAGAGGTTGTGAGAGCTGGGTTTACAATAACATGGTTGGGTCAGGTTTTGTGTGATGATAGTTGTTGGATACTAACTATTTACATGGCATGGGATACTGTACTCCACAGAGCCCATAAGAGGCTAAAAATGGGAAAATCCCATTCCTATAATAATAAATATGAACATTGATTTTTGTGCCACAACTGCGAGAGTCCACTGAATATGTTGGTGTGCTTGTTTAAGCACTGGTGTAGCCTCACACTCCCAGTCCATCAGTACATGCAATAATGAGGCTACATATATGGTTAAGGGTGGGGAATACAATCCTTACAACCAATCACAGGTGCATCATACATGTGAGGAGCCCAGGGAAAAACATCCATACATCTCCATCAGTTTTGATCACAGCAAAATTTATGTAAATAGTATTGGTGAATATTGACATGTCAGTGCTACCTGTCTTCAGTAACTTTCATAATTAATTATGGCAATATTTGCTTCACACTTGATTAAACAGTGGAAACCCCCCCCTCTGCTCTGACCATCTGCACATCACTGTGGCAGCATTGAGTGTCAAATCCTTGTAACAGAGCAAAATAACAAGCACATAGAAGCTGTTACATAAATAGCCTTTGGGAGTTCATGAGCATCCATGGGGGCTAGAATAAATGAATGTTAGTTACCTCTGCAAATTTTGCAGGGTTCTCCCCCCTAGACTGGTGTCTAGGTGATAAAATAAAATAATGAGTAAAAATCCTTTGCCCTCAGGTAAAGGGTTCTCCCCCCTAGACAGATGTCTAGGTTTAAAAATGTGGTCTAGCCATATAAGGGTATGGCCAGAGGAACGATTGGCCTTGTGAGACCTGGCATCGCTCCACCTGCTTCCTGATCTAGGAAGCGGTTTTACCCAGTATTGGGTAAGGTCACATCATCTGGAAGTCAGATGATGTATTTAACCTCCCTTGGGGGTGGTTTATCTGTTGGCTGGACAGGTGGATCACTATGGGTTTCCCCATAGTGAGTAGACGGTATAGTGGTATCCCTTTCAGATGATGAAAGGGAAAAAGTTGAAAATTTTCGGGGATTTTTCCCCAAGAGTAGGTTACAGAGAGTGTGATCTCTGTATCTCATGGATAGACCATGAGGTTTTTCCAGAGGAAAAACCGGTGTTGGCATTGCTTCGGCAATGGGTGACTTCCCAAAGGGTAATTGGCTAGACCACCTCCCACCACCTGATGAACCTGGCCCTGAGTGCGGGTGGTCATCCTGTGGCCCGATGTGGTGCCGTTCCACCATATTCTGGGAGAATCCCCTCTGCTCCCGCATATCCAAAGAAGGATAAGAAATATCGTGCATGTTAAGTCCATGCGACGATGGTTGTCCCCCAGATCTGGGGTTCCCAAGGCACTGACTGTGTGCCTTGGTCTTCCTTATCGATTCCCAGACTTCTAGTCTGGCGATTATCCGTTCTGTACTCCCCACCCTCCATTCAGGTGGGAACTGGACAAAGTCCAGAAGTGCCTTGGATAGAGGCGAAATGGATGCGGGTTTATGTGTCGATTTGGGTGACATGGACTCTTTGTCCATGTTAGAGTGGATGCGCTCATTCCTGGATGAAGCGCTAGTCTCACTGCAGTTGTGAGACGATGACCGCAATGTGGAGACTTTTTCCACATTTCTTTCACTCAGGACTGGCTCCCTGTGCAAGCGGGGGTCATTCCATGAGTGTTTTGGATGATTCCCAGTCTTGTAGACTGGGGTTTGAACCGGCTCGCGCCTAGGCGCCGAGCTGGACGTCTCACTATGGCTGCGAGACGGTAACGACGATGTGGAGATTTTTTCCACATTTTTTGCAATCAAAAACGGCTCCCTGCGCGAGCAGGAGTTGTTGTTTGATTGTTTTGCACAATTCCCAGTCACATGGACTGGGGATTGAACCAGCATGCTGCGATTTTGCGAGCTGGACGTCTCACAGTTAATGTGAGACGATGTAGACAGTGTGGAAGTTTTTTCCACATTTTTTGCGACCACTAACGGCTCCCTGTGCTGGCAGGAGCTGTTGTTTGATCGATTTGTACAACTACCAGTCGCATAGACTGGGGAGTGAGCCGGCTTGCTGCTATATCGCAAGCTGGACGTTTCGCGGCAGACGCGAGACGATTCCGTAGATGTGGACGATTTTTCCACATTTTTTGGAACTCCAAACGGCTCCCTGCGCAGGCAGGAATGGTCATTTGGTTGTTCATGACAACTCCCAGTCATATAGACTGGGGAGTGAACCAGATTGCTGCTATATTGCAATCTGGACGTCTCGCGGTTAATGCAAGACGATGCTGGAGATGTGGAAGATTTTCCCACATTTTTTGGAATCAAAAACGGCTCCCTGTGCCAGTGGGAGTGATCGTTTGATGGTTTTGTGTAACTCCCAGTCAAATAGACTTGGGAGTGAACCGGCTTGCTGCAATATTGCAAGCTGGATGTCGCATGGGTGACACGAGATGAATCTGAAGATGTGGACGATTTTTCCACATTTTCTGGAGCTCCAAACAGCTCCCTGTGTGAGCAGGAGCAATCGTTTGGTTGCTTCTGATGCCTTCCCATCACATAGAATGGGAGGAGTAATGCTTTGAGGCCTGGGTGGAGGAGCCCGGGCATAAATGATGACGTGGCAGGTTTTGCCATGTACAGTTCTCCAATAAACTGTTGCAATGTTTTGCACTTTTGACTTCATGACCTTATAGCATGATGATGATGTATTCTAAAATTTCAAAAAAATATTCGAAACATGTAATAGTATCCCATTTGAATATGTACCAATTATGTAAGCAATATGTTTATTTTTGGTAATGCTATGTAATTTACAAACCACCCAGGTCATTGCAACAGTTTATTGGAGTACATTTTTGGGAAGGGAAAATGGCATTAATTAATACTTTGTATAGCCACCTTTTGCTCTAACCACTGTCTCAATCCTCCTAGGCATACTCTCAATCAGATTCTGGCAAATACTTGGATCTATCCTATCCCACTCCTCCTGGAAGCGATCCCACAGCTCCTGAACACTACTTGGAGGTTCTTCATATTCCCCAAGCTTCCTCTTCACATGATTCCAGAGATGCTCGATTGGATTGAGGTCTGGAGACTGTGAGGGCCACTTCATGACCTCAATACAGTGGTTATTGAACCAGTTTTGGGCCTTTTTGCTGGTGTGTTTGGGGTCATTGTCCTGTTGGAAGAGGACATGGGCTGGGTTTTTGTGATAATATGATATGGTTTCCTGTAGTTCCTCATCCAGAATTTGGCAGTACAGGTCCCCATCCATCTTCCCATCAATCTTGCATGCCATTCCAACCCCATCCCAGGTCATTCAACCCCATACCATGATGGAACCTCCACCAGACTTTTTTGTGCCTTGCACCAACCTGTCAGTGAGAGGCTCCCCCACCCCCTTCCACACCCATTTCTTCCCATCTGAGCCCAGACGATTTACCTTAGTCTCATCAGACCATACAACTCTCTTCCAGTCCTCTAGAGTCCACTCCTTGTGGCTGAGGGCAAAATCCATCCTGTCCCTCTTGTGACACCTGGTGAGCATAGGCCTTTTTTTCTTCACCACTGCTTTCCAACCAGCTTTTTTGAGCCCTTTACGTACAGTCTCAATGGAGAGGGATGTGTCATTGATGTTTCAGAGTATTCGGGTGACTTGGGATGAGTTGTCAGCCTTCCCAGAGTTGATGAGACGACAAGCATGGCGAATATCAGTGTCAGAAAGCTTGGATGGATGACCACCACTGGGCTTGGGAACATCAGAACGGTGTTTAGACCATAGGCGAGTGCAGTGGAGTAATGGTGGCCAGTAAGAACTGAGATTTGGCGAGCACTATGGCCAGAATCAATGAGGGAAAGTGTTATAAAAATGGGGCCTAATTGGCCCATTTCTATAGCGTTCGGGTGCAGGAGGGGGCTGTGACATTGAGAAGATGTTACAATTAATGTAACAGATGTTGTAACAATGGGGTTTACAATAACATGGACATCAGGTGTTTTGGGTGATAATTGTTGGTTAGGTTGTTATTATATCCATGTCACGTGATATTATACTGCATAGAGCCCATAAGAGGCTAAAAATGGGAAAATCCCATTTCCATAACAGAAAGGATTTGTTCAACTTTTGAAGTGGCTAAAGGGTGCATTTCAGATTTGGGGCCTTATCATGTGAAGTCCTTCAGTATTTATGCTTTATTAATGTCCTTTTGTTTACTAGTGTGTACAGTAAACAATATCACATGTCATGTCACATGATATTCCTATTTTCTGTTCAGCCTGGGGGTACTCCAATAAACCGTTGCAATGACCTGGGTAGTTTGTAAATTACATAACATTACCAAAAATGGCAATATTGCTTACATAATTGGCAAATCTTTAGATGAGATACTTTCCCATGTTATGAATATTTTTTTGAAATTTTCAAATACATTTTCATTGTGCTATAAGGTCATGAGTTGAAAAGTGAAAAACATTGCAACGGTTTATTGGAGAACTGTAAGTTTGGCTTGGATTTGGCTCCCTGCACAACTGGGAGGCATCACACAAAGCCTTTGTACCCAACTGAGTTGGGTGAAGTGCAGGAGAAGTCATCTCCTTGCGAAAGCAAGGGTCTTCTGATTACTGAATTTGCGCACCCTCGCAAAAGCGAGGTTCTCCTGCTACAGGTGACAGCTCTGCCTGGCACATAAGGGGTTGTGCTGGCATTACTTTCACCTGTTTCCCAGTCTTATTGACTAAGGGTTTTGTCCCCTTGCTAGTTGCAAGGGTCTTTTGCTTGCTGGACTGGCAAGCAGAATTTGATGAAAAATGAACACTCACTTGTTTTCCACATAACATAAAATTGTGGTTCCTAGCGATGCCAGGGATCAGTGTGATGTCAAACAAAAAGTACTCAAAAAAGTGTAAGGTGGGTGTCCCAGAACCCAGCTGTGAGTATCAAATATGTATGATTCACAGTGGGTAGGATGATAGTGGCCTCCCTGGGTCATGTGACCCCTACATACATGGACCGTGACCTGACAACCCTTGAGGAACTCATATGTGAGTTCCAAGGCATCAATAGTTGTCTTCACAGGTATTAGATGTACCTGTGAAGTTAAATGACACATAACTACCCTGTCACATCCATACCAACTCTGCCTCACCTCTGCTCCACTCTGCCACCATTCCAGTCCACCTCCAGTTCTTCCTCCCCTCACACCTCCACTATACCCTCCAGTTCACCTCCACCTCCAATCTCCAGTACCTTCTCTGGTACCTCTTATCCTCATCCTACATGTTTATTAATATTTCTATCTACCCAATATTACTATGGACCTCCTAGGACCTCTGCTCACTCCACAAAGGTTTTCCCACTGTAGCTGTCACTAATTCCACCCTTCACCTACCCACTCCACAATGCTCGATAAGGCAATTCTCTCACAAGCTTGCTGACCCAGCAAGTGGGTAAGTCCCCCTTCAGTTTTCCCCTTTGTTCCCCTTTGTCCTCTATTATGCATATAAGACCTGTATTGTAGTTGATGGCACCTCAGTGCAAAATCGACGACTACTCCCCCAGAGTTCGTGCCCTCTTGTTCTGAAGTTAAGGACCAGACTCCTAAAGCGTTACCGAACATAGGCACAGCGCTCCTCTCCGAGTCACTGAGGCCTTGGTTCCTCCACTCATTCTCTACCTCTGGCCTCCTTCCAGGGAAAGGTCCAGGGACACTGCCCTCCTCACATGTGCTTGACAGTTCACAACATTGAAATAGTGTTTTTTATTCTGACCTAATATCTTCAGGTCAGCGTTCATCCCAAAATAAATGCAGGAACGACTCCCTTTGGTACCCATCTGAAGTACCAAAGGGTTTGGTAGCTCTAGCAGAGAGATGTGGCACACCCTGACAAAGTCAGGGGACAGTGCATCCATGTCAGGGCACACACCTGACCCCACGCCGCGCCGCCCTACTCCGCTCCCCCACTATCACTCCCTGTGTCTCCTTTCCCCTTTTCCTTCTTTCTTTCTATTTCCGTTCCATGGTCGACTTCCCCTTCTCTATGTATTACTACACACTTAACCCCACTCCCCCAATCGCCGCGCCCACCGTGGGCATTCCCGCTCACAGAGCGGCACACCTCCGGGATCTCCCACAGAGATACCCAGGGGAGTGCGGCTGTGTGCAGGGATGATGTGGCTCCTCCCACGTGACCTCAGCTGCATGTATATAATAGCACCTGGGGTGGGAACAGAAGAAGCAGCCTTCTTCTCAACTTCCCACTTCAGGTAAGTACTGTAGCTTCCCCTTTTAATGATAATTCAACTTCCCACTTCAGTGGTCGGGGACGCTCACCCTGCAACGGGACCGCCGCTATGCATAGCCGACATCTGTCCCATCGAGTCCCTCGCGCCGGGACCTCGCCGCTTTCGGAGCTGTCCCTGACAGGTGCACCCCACATGATCGATCCCGCATGTATATAATAACAGCTGGAGTGGGAACTGAAGAAGTAGCCTTCTTCTCACATTCCCACTTCAGACTAAGTGGTCAGGGACACTCACCCTGCAATGGGATTGCCACTACGCACAGCTGCTACTCGTCCCACCAAGTCCCATGTGCCAGGACCTCGCCGCTTTCGGAGCTGTCCCTGACACAGATGCTCCAGCATTTGAAGCATACCGGTTATTACTTGGAGGGGGCACCTGAGTAGGTGCCTGCATCTGGGCCCTTGACAATGAAGCCACAACTGGTTTCATTGCCACCTGCGTTTTCTTAGCACTGTAGGCTAGAGAGGCAGGGGAACTACATGTTGTAGTTACTTTTGTAGCTGAACTTGCTGCCCCTTTTGTTGAAGGAATGCAGTAACTCATGAAATGTGATAGATGCTCCATGGGCTCCATGGAATTTGTTGAAATTTCATGAATTTCATGGATTTTCATGGATTTTCATGGAGTTCCATGGATTTTCTGACAAATTACATGACTTTGACAGCCTCCCATGGGTGGTCATGGGCTTCTGTGGATGTTCATGGAATCCCATGGATATTCATGGACTCTCATGGGTGCCCATGGGTGCTCATGGACATCCATTCTATTATTTAAACTTTCTTAACAATACACATAACATTTCACTCACTTACCAATACACTCCTTTTTTACTTTCTACTTCCTCCATTTCGTAAATTACCACATAAAATTGTCATGGAAAAAATTGTTTTTTCTTTTTTTTCTTTTCTCTCTTTTTCATGTACCCTTTCCCTCTTTCTCTTTGTGTGCGCTGACAAGCAACGCAAGGGGGGAGAGTGTCAGGTCACAGTCCATGTATGTAGGGGTCACGTGACCCAGGGAGGCCACTATCGTCCTACCCATACATATTTGATACTCACAGCTGGGTTCTGGGACACCCACCTTACAAGGGTGTTGTTTGCTTACATGGACTACCTGTCATATCCATACACCTCCAGACCTCCACTCCTGATTCTGGACCTCCATCTCCTCCTCCAGAACTCCACCTCCTCCACCTCCTCCTCCCCCTGTTGGTTGTTGAGAGCCCACTCTACCTCTGGCTCCAACACAACAT